GGCCAGGTTTTTAAAACCCACGAACCCAGGGATGGCAAGGAAGCAAGAGGCTCCCAGAAGGCACCAGCCCTGCTAATGCCTGGATGTGAACGTGGAGAGACCTGAGGTGAAGGGGTTACAGGTTGGGCTGCTGATCGAGAAGTCAGCAGTTCAGAACTACTAGCCGCTCTCGGGACAAAGATGGACAGTCTGGGAGCCCCACAGGGACAGTTCTATAGGTCACTGTAAATGGGCACCAACCCGATGGCCGTGAGCTCGCTTTCACTTTGCCTCCAGAAGTGCTGGGGCAGCGATTTGTGTTATTTGAAGCCGCCGAGTTCTTGTTCATTTGTTACAGCCGTTACAGGACATGAATATACCTACGATTTTCACTCTTTCCAGCGCTCTTGATTTCTTTGAACGGGCTGGAGTTTCCATCTGGTGTGATTACATTCTGTTGAGTGAACAACTTTAACTTATCTTGCCGATCTGCTGACAGTAAATTCTCTCAGCCTTAGCTTCTCTGAAGATCTTTATTTCTCCTCCATTTCTGAAAGAAACCCTGTGCGCTCATGTGAAGTAGATAACACCTCACTGACTCTTAAGCAGCTACTGGCAGCACTGGAGTTCACTGCAGCTGCAACAACAAACCCCATCGATGTGGGCCCACACAGCCCTACCCCAGCTACTTACAGGTCAGCTATAAAGTGTAGGTGCATCTGTAAGAAAACATGTCTTGTAAATTAGGTTGGGGGTTTACATTTCAGAAAATTAACTTTGGATTCAACAATTTAACAACTAACCAAACCCCCCAGTAGTTGACCCTGCTGCACCCACTTTTTTATTTTATTTTATTTTATTGGGGGTTCTTACAGCTCTTATCACAATCCATACATATATCCGTTGTGTCAAGCACATCTGTACATATGTTGCCATCACCTTTTTAAAAACATTTTCTCTCTACTTGAGCCCTTGGTATCAGCTTCTCATTTCTCACTCCCTCACTCCATGAACCCTTGATAATTAAAATTTTTTTTTTTTTCATGTCTTACACCAACTGCTGTCTCCTGTTACCCACTTTTCTGTTGTCCGTCCTCCTGGGAGGGGGCCATACGTTGATCATGGTGAATGGTTCCCTCTTACTCCCCCCACCCCCTTCCCCTTCCCCTCTTGATATCTCTGCTCCCATTATTGGTCCTGAGGGGTTTATCTGTCCTGGATTCCCTGAGTTTCCAGCTCTTATCTGTACCCGTGTACATGCTGTGGTCTAGCCGGATTTGTAAGATAGACTTGGGGTCATGATAGAGGGTTGGGGGGGGGCATTAAAGCACTAGAGGAAAATTATGTGTTTTGTTGGTGGTATACTGCACCCTGACTAACGTGGTCTGCCTTGTGGCCCTTCTGACAGGGGTGTCCAATTGACTACTGATGGGCTTTGGGTCTCCACTCTGCCCACCACCCCTACACATTGATATTTTTTTGTTTTGTTTTGCATCTTTCATGCTTGATAACTGATCCCACTGACACTTCCTGATCACACAGGCTAGTGTGCTTCTTCCATGTGGGCTTTGTTGCTTCTGAGCTAGATGGCCGCGTGTTTACCTTCAAGTCTTTGAGACCCCAGATACCATATCTTTTGATAGCCGGGCACCATCAGCTTTCATCACATTTGCTTATGCACCTGCTTTGTCTTCAGCGATCATGTCAGGGAAGGACTGCATCCACGCCTTACTCTTTCTCCCTCTTGTGCATTTCTTTCTTCTCTTTGATGCCAGTGAACATCCGCTTGTGTTCTAGCCCATTGCCGTATGCACCTTCCTTCCTGGCTGCCCAGCCAGCAGCCTCCACAGCCTGTTCCCTTTGGTTTGAAAACCTTCATCTTTGTATCACACACACACACACACCCCTCTTGTAACAGTGACCTCATATAGTAGTTCTTTTGTGGTTGATGACTTTCACTCAGCATGAGATATCTCATGAGCTCTCCAGCGCTTCCTGGTTTCATTTTGTTTCAGTGTTGCATAATACTCTTAAGGTGGCTTTTGATTGCATGGAAGGCTGATGCCCCAACTTCTGCATTGGTCAAGGGCCCACGGGCTTCAGTACATGCAGAGAATTCCCAGCTGACTCCATTATTCTTCTGGACTGTCTGCTCCCCCATGAGACCTGTACTGCCCCTCATAGATGCCCCCCCCCAGTGAGAAGTGTACTGCTCCTCATACATCCCCATCCCCCCAGTGAAGTGTACTTCCCCTCATAGATCCCCCCCAGGGAGAAGTGCACTGCCCCCCCACCCCCCAGTGAGAAGTGTACTGCCCCTCCTATAGGTGCTCACCTGGGTTTCTTTGGTGGCCAGGATTTCTCCCTTGGGGCTTCAGCATTTGGACCACGACACACCAACCTGTGTTTCTCTTCACACTACTAACTACGTGAGCTTCTGCAGTATTTTGTCTTGTATTAATTCCAGAAAACTCTTAACGACTTCTGTCTCTTTCTTCCACTAGGTGTACAATTATGTGCGTTTTTATTTGATGTGGCCCCCCAGCTTTGGGCGGATTGATCTGTGTTCTCTGGGTCTGTTTCCTCCTCTTATCTGAACAGGCACACAAGACCCATTGCTCAGTTTCACTGGTTCTTTGCTGTATCGGCTGCGGATAAGAGAAATGAATTAATCATCTTCAGCATTATAGTTAAGCTCACATTTCTGTTTGACTTTTTGTTGTTTTCATTTGTTGGGCCCATCTGTTCAGCATCCTGCTCACATGTTCCCCTAGTTTTGAAATAATAATCTTGGTTAAAGTCTCTTATGGTTCTTATATGTAGGTTAAATGTTCTGTTAATGGCAAGATCGTGGCTCAAGCCCACCAGCCACTTTGCTGGCAAAAGGTAAGATTATAGTCTCGGAAACCGTAGGGAGCATTTCTGTTCTGACAGCAGTCGCAAACAGTTAACAAAAACTCTCTGTGCTGCTGTCTCCACCCTTGTGTAGAGATACGCACTCTTACATGGTGATGCAGCTAAGATTCCACAGGGTGATCACTAAGGGACAAACCGTGCACAGCACCCTTAGAGGTGCTCAGTCAGTGTGGTGTTCTGGCTTCAGGATTGTGTCCTGTGAGGTAACTGCGAGTGTGAACAGACTGGATAGTAGTTGGTTGTTGGTTTATTCGTGGGAAGGCTGCCTCTGGGGCTTGTTCTGTTGATGGCTTTCTCTCTCGACAGTGATTTATTTTTTTCTTTTTGTGTCTGATTTATTTTTTTAATTGACTGTTGTACGAGTATGTGACAGGCCAGTAGAGAATCAAGTGAACCGTATTTATGCCTAGAAAATGGCCTGTCTCATTCTGGGGAACGGAGTTAGTCTCATTTCCGTAGTGTACCCAAGCCAAAAACACTGCCATTGAGTCATCTCCCACCCAGGGCAACCCTACAGGACAGGGCAGAACTGCCCTTGTGGGTTTCCGGGACTGTAATTCTTTATGGGAGTAGCAAACCCCATCTTTCTACCCAGGAGTGGCTGTTGGTCTTGAACTGCCCGTTCCTCCAGTGGTGTGCTACTGCACCCCATGCTTTCTGAGTCTCCCATGACCACAGTTCGCTCTGTCGCCTCTTTCTCCATGCTCTCTTCTCATGGGGAAGGGCGCCTCCCTCCCCGTTCTGATCCTGCCTCGGGTGCCAGGCTGCTGGTGCTGCTCATGACATGGGTCCAGGATCATGGAGATGTGGGGTTTGTCGGCTCTCCTGGGGCTTCTCCTCTCTCCAGCTCCAGCCTGCCTGGAGCAGTCTCCAAGTGGGCTTTTCCAGATGGCCTTGTATGTGGAGGCCTGGGTGGGACACCCTGACTCAGGGCACTGAGCATTTGGGGATGGATTTAGCCCTGTTAAGAAGGGACCCTCCAAAGCTGTTGGTATGTTTTATTAAACCGTTGTATTTTATGGTTTAATTAAAGATGGCAACCAGTGGGTCTGAAGTGCCGGCCTTGCAGTTAGCAGCCCACTGCTTAGACCTACTTTACCCCAGGGCTCCTTCCCAAGTGCAGGAGGGGGAGGAAGGTAGGTGAGGAGAAGGAAGGCTTCCCTAGGTGGGAACCAGGGGTTTCCAGGCAGAGAAAGAAATTAGGGCATGCACTCACTCATTCACATGCAGACAAGTCTGTTGGCAGTACCGACATCAAGACCCCCTGCCTTAGAGGGACCCATGGCCTAAGGGCAGGGAAGATGGACAGGATTTGAATATAGATTGAAGGGAGGTCAGGTGAGACAGGGAGGCAGACAGGGCAGTAGAATTATTTTACGCAAGGACTGGGTCAGAGCTAGTTAGGTTTCTTGGGTGAGAAATACCTCGGTCCTTGGCTTTGCACAAGAAAGAATTCACGGTGAAGCCTGCTTTGTGATCCAAGGGAGTTTTTATAAAGGACAGAGGCGGTTTCAGGCGTTACAGTAAACTGCATACAAGCCAGAGAGAGCGACAGAGCCTGCAGCCCCGCCTTGTGGGACAGGGAAGGAGCAGCTCGAAAAGAGGGAGGTGGGCTCCCTGATTCTGGCTTTTCAGGGCCCTCCGCTGGGAGGTGTGATCCACAGTACTGGTTGACCTCATTGGCTGAATTAAGCCCACCTGGCCTAGATTGGGGCCCTCCCAGGTCAAGTGCCTTTCGGTCTCAAAGGCCTGAGTCTGCGCATACCCCCTCGCCTTTATGGGCTTCCAACTTCCGGTAAAGGGTGGAGGGAGGCCTGAGCGTGTTGAGAGAACCCCTAGTTCCTGTTCTGCTACCTCACACTACCTTCATCAAAGGTGGTTGGTTCAGTGCTACCCAAACCCCCTGCCGTCGGGTCGATGCCGACTCAGTG